ATTATTATTATTATTATTATTATTATTATTATTATTATTATTATTACTACTACTATTATTATTATTATTTTGCTCCACAATGGCACATCGAACTAGCCAATATACTCAATTGGGTTTGCATTGAGTGTTGAAATTGGTACCCACATTTTCGTTTGCACAAAGTTTATTATTCTGTTGACCAGACCTGCATGCCATTAAAAAGTGATTCACTTTCTTTTCTCATCCTTTTCTTCTTAGTTCTGTTTTCAATGTGATGACATGGTTCCATTGATTTGAAATTGTTTTGTTTTCTTTTTTTTTTATTAGATTTCTTTTCCTCTGTAGTGAAAATTTAGAGAAAAAAAATGAAAGGTATTTGGTGTTCATTCTTTGATATTCTTCAGGAGATTATAACTAACTCGTGAAAGAGAGATAAAAGCTGTTTACGTGGGTCGCTTTATTAATTGCACATCTTGGTATGATTATAATTTTTTTCTAATTTGCATGTTACAGAAATGAAGAAAGAACAAGATTAAAGAGGGAGTGAGATGAGAGAAAGAAAGGGAGACAGAGAAAGAAAGAAAGAAAGAAAGAAAGAAAGAAAGAAAGAAAGAAAGAAAGAAAGAAAGAAAGAAAGAAAGAAAGAAAGAAAGAAAATGAGCAAAGAAGTGGTCGTTGTCTGAAATAATGATATGCATGTTATTTTCCCCTTCTCCCACCTGCATGTAGGGATTTGGTTTCGTTACTTTCGAAAATAGTGCTGATGCCGAAAGGGCGAGGGAGAAATTACACGGCACCGTGGTAGAGGGCCGTAAAATCGAGGTGCATGTCCAAAATATTTTCCTTTTCATCTTTTTTATAAATGTTTGCCTCACTCTCATTCGTTGTTTCAGATGCATCATTGCTGTCTCTTCTGTGTTTCCCTTCTCCTTCCCATTGAAATATTTTATATACATATATATATACACCTATACATATATATATATGGAATATATTATATATAGATATGATTATATATTATATAATATTATATAATATTGTATAATATACTATTATATATATAGATATATAGATATATATTATATGTATA